GCTGTTTGCGCGGCGCATTATAAAAGAATGGCAGCAGAGCAGCAGCAAACAGCGCCGTTAAAAATGCATGAGGTGCTACCCAGCGCTGCTCTCACTGCGTCGAATAGAGCTATCACGGCTGCCTGTTATCTCCAGAACCCCCAGGTAGAAATGGTAATGATACTACTTAACACCGCTGCACATATGGAGGGAAAATGGAAATGCCAACAGCACCTCAACTATAAAGAAAATCAAATTGAAATATTAATCCGCTGATTAATATAACATTATGAGAGCCCATTCTCTTTGTTGTTTAACAACAAAGGATTGCAAAATAAGCAACTGCCTGAGAGGTAAGGGGTTTAAAAGAGTCCCACTGAGGTGTTAGGATCCCTTTCAACCATCATTACCACACATAATGTATTCACTTCCACAGTGCTGAGGTTTTGATATTGATGTTTACTCATTTATTTTTTAATTAATGTTCTTTGTTAATGAATTCTTTGATGAGAGGCATTTTGTAAATCATTATCCTAAGAAGAAGATGAAGAAAAAAAAAAACGTTCTCGATTTTGCCCATTAAACTTGAAAGCGCAAGGTGTAAGGGGAAAAAGTTGAGCGTTGAGTTGTGGGTCATTATTGAAAGTTTTTCTTATTAGGGTCATTAATTGTCATGTCTATTCTGTGTGTATCTTCATGTTACTTTGGGATTTCAGCTGGGACGTTATACGGCCCATTGCAAACAACGTGTTTAATTAGACAAACGCAGAAGTTCAGCGCTGAACCTTCGGCGAAGTTTGAGGGCTCCTCTCATCGACGTTGATCATTTTAGGGTACTTCATAGAGCATATAGTCACAATGGAAGATGAAGATGCAAAGTCCTCTTCCTACAAACACTTGACTGACATACAGTACATATCCATCACACTTTAACTTTTCTAAAAAAAAACAACAACAAAAAGTGTTTATAATTTTATATATTGCCTTCTAAAAGTTTTTTTTTAATTCTTGAAAAACAACAACATTTTCTTTGCAACAAAATTGAAATTATACAGCTGTAATACAACTCATATATTTATGAACTCACCTTTGGTTTGTATTTTTTAAACTCAGGATAAATAATGGTTTCAAGACTATCAAGTCATTTTTACAATTTTAATGACCAATCAGCAGAATTTGCCAATTTTCACCATCACAGAAAGCCAAACATTTAAGCTTGCAAGACAAAAAAATGGATGTACAAGAATGACTAGAAATGTTTTAGTGGCATCACAGCACTGGCCCAAAAAAGCAAGTGACTGATCCAAAATTTCATGTTACTTTGTCAGTATCAATATCAGCTTATACTTTTCTAGCCAGTTTCGAAACTTCATTCTTATGTTACTGTCTCTTTAAGATGAATTGCTTGAGCTGTGGTATTCTTAAATGCTTTTTTTTAACTACAAACTTGTGAGAAAGTCAGTTTTAATGGCATTTTCCTTATCTGAGTGCATTTTGACACCATTTTGACACCATACTGTATACTTTAGTTTAAAAAAAGCTTTAAAAACTGAAAGTATGAAACCATTGCAATTGACTTCATCAGTTAATCTACATAACTGAAACCATTTGGGATTTGCCACTTAAATGGTACATTTAAAAACAACAAAATCTGCAATCTGGATAATGTCTGTGCCCTTTGAATTCATTCAGAGATGCTCCAGAAGAGTTTTCAGCTTCAAAACCACAAAAGTTCTTTAGGCAGCACTCAAGTTTCATAGTCAGAATATGGCCTTTTGCCATCCCCTATTCAGCTTTGGGTTTAGGAGAAAACATGCATTTTAGTCTTTGAGACAAAGAAACTGTTTTTTTTTTTTTTTTGCTTCACCCCACGAATGACTGATTGTGTTTCCAGTACCCCACATACACCACAGTGCTATTTTTCTTTCTATCTTTCAAGCCAGTCTAAATGAAGCCAAACTATACAGCCTTAAAGGCACATTCATCACAGTGCGCCTGCAAGCTCAGTGCAGATGTAATGCAAGTAACTGATTGCTCTCTCTTTCTCATAGAAAAAAAGAAAAAAAAAAAAAGAATCTCGACTAGAATTAGGGCTTTTCATCGGCAAATATATTTCACTTGTGATTAATTGCAACACTCAAATCCCGATCATTTTTACACAAGAGAGAGCATTTCGGCTTTGTAAAATTGATAAAAAGAAAATGCAAATCGTTGGTGTTCTTGGCACCAAACATATGCTGCCACGATGCCAACAAGCCTGCCCCTGACGATCCCAGCTGGAAGCTTGCAAGACGTGCTTTTGGCAAAAGACTTTTTTTCCACCCCGTTTTGCAAATGATCGGCAATTAATATGCCAAGCATCCAGAGCTTATTCTGCACCTGTTTACATGCAAGTTTAAACTTTGTGAAATGCATTACACCATATACTGAAGGTTCAAATGCTTTAGATTTGTGGCGATTTGTCCAAGTTGGCATCTCTATAGCATAGACAAGGAATGAAAATGTGTGTGTATGTGGATATATATATATATGGATATATATATGGATTGCTGAAGTTGGGATTTAGAACAACACAACACAAATCTAAAGCAACTGAACCTTCAGTAATGGTATTGCATTTTACAAAGTGTGTATATATATATATGTACTGTATATATGTATCTATCTATCTATCTATCTATCTATATATAAGTTCAAAATAATGCATATATTTTCCATATAATCCATAGTTGAACCTAATATATATATTTATTACATTACATATACATATATATGTCAGGTAAAAATAATAATGTTTTTGAATACTTCAAATGCCTTAGATTTGTGGCGATTTGTCCAAGTTGGCATCTCTATAGCATAGACAAGGAATGAAAATGTGTGTGGATGTGGATATATATATATATGGAAAAATATATGGATTGCTGAAGTTGGGATTTAGAACAACACAACACAAATCTAAAGCAACTGAACCTTCAGTAATGGTATTGCATTTTACAAAGTGTGTATATATATATATGTACTGTATATATGTATAATTATAATAAAAGTTAAAAAATAACAATATGCATCTTATATAATTTCTTTATATATAATATGAATGCATATTTATACATTTATTAGATTTTTATTTTTTTTTTGCTTCCAGGTTGTCCATGTGATCCTCTGGCATGCCTAGTGGCATCTTGGGAACTTTCTTAATCTGGAGCAGAAAAAATCCAAGCATGAGCACCTGCGAGTAAGCATTGTAAAACTATTTACATATTTCCAGTCAGCCATTTTAGGAAGTTAAAACTGTGGTCAATGCAAATTAAAATTTGAGGGTAAAAGACAATATTCAAATGACACGCTTGCATTTGTACAACTGGAAATCGGCCAAATGTATTGCGCGTTCCCAGCTCACGATTTAAAATCCAGCATTATTTCTCTCTGTCACCATAATATGTTTCTTTACATTTGAAATATGCACTTGTATAAACATGTAACATACATGAAATATTACAGTCACACTTATGAAGATGTTATGCTGTAAGATGCTGTAAGTGCTCAATGTAAGATTTGCAGGCTGAAAACTGCGCCTAGACGGGGGACGGAGTGGGCTGTGTTAATCTTCCTCTCTCTCTTCTCTCACAGATCTTCCTCACTGCACAACTTATGATGGATAGGAGGCCTTAATGAGCTTCTTACAAGCAATTAAATAATCAGGGAGCCCTGCTGTTTGCCGATGAGGCTTTAGAGAGCGCTGACAAACGGTGGGCCATCAGCGCTCCAATCAACAGGACACGGTGCTCAGTGCTGTCACCAATGCTATTTTAAACAATGACTCTCTGCACTGCCGAAAAAACACTCATAGGAATTATGCTCAAAGGAGTGGGAAAGTTTTGTACAGGCGTTTACGTCAGTGTTTTGCAATTGTATCTATCTTAGCCGTACAGATGCACTGTAACAGTTTGATGCGGTTGGCAGATAGTGTTAGTATGTTATTGATTTTATCATAGTTAAATGAATAGTTCACCCCAAAATGAAAATTGTCATGAATTAATCACATACCTGTATGCTGTTATTTTATTCACACAATAATGGGAATTTTGAAGAATCTTCCTGCAGATCTGTTCCAACAACAGTTGGTAACAATGAGATTTGAAAAGGGAAGATTGTCTGTGCGTAACAACTTAAATTTCTGCCTGTTTCCAACACAAATCTATCATATGGACTACATTTATAGCTTTGTTATAGTGTTTTTGGTCGTTTTTGGTCATTTTTGGAACTGCTAAATCTAAACGTGTTGTGCGAACAATTAAATAAAAACAGTTGTTTAAATTAAATTAAATAAATTAAATAAAAACATGGCAATAATAAATGAAATATTTTACATGGCAATAATATTTCTTAATATTACTGATTTTACAGTATTTTGATCAAATTAATGCAGCCTTGGTATGCATTAGAGACTTCTTACAAAAACATTTAAAAATCTTACTCAACAGCCTATATGTATATAAGTATATGCAATATGAGTATATATGATATTTGTGAGTTTTCAGATCTATAACAATCCTTTTTTAACCACAATTCTAAATGAGGCCGGATGCCTGCTTTCATTTTCCCATCAAATCTTTGTTTTATAGCACTGATTGGAGAACAACTTTCATAAACGTTAACATTCATGTAATTAGTTTAAAACTTCAGTTCGTTTTTTGTCGCAACAAATTTAGTATTGAAACCAATCACCTCTTGTTTTCCCAATTTACAAATCTGTTATTCATCTAAGTGAGTATACAACTGACACATGCACCGACAGTCTTGGTGATAAAGTTCACTTTCAGCTTCAAAGATGGGTTATCACCTTGTTATGCCTCATAAAGTGCTGTAACATCTTCTTTATAATTAGCTATATTTGGTGCAAGTTGCAATAGTATAATTCCTGCTGTGACAGGAAGAAAAAAAACAGCAAGTGCATTTAATTACAAGCCGGCTCCGACATGCCAGTATGTGTATGGAGTTCTCAGCTTCTCTTTTCTCACCCGTAGGAGATGGAGACGGGGGCCGGGCACCCCTGGGTGCCACAACACCTCTGCCGCAGCGGTGACTTCCTCTTGTAGAACTGCACTTGTTCGCTCCTGTTGTAGGGTAAGATGCTGGAGAATGCCACAGCGAGTGCATGCTGCAAAAAGTAAATATGTTGCCTATTAATAGGCTGGTGGACGGGTAGAACCCGGAGCAGAACCGCGAGGCGTTGGGGGGAGAGTGCCAGGAGTGCGATTCGCTCCGGAGTGTGTGTATGTGTGTGTGTGTGTGTGAGAGAAAACCGCTGAGGGAGCAGATTCTTAGCACAGCGCTGGCACAGGACACACTCACATATGCGTGCACTTAGCATACACACACGCACTGAGACACTGTAATCCATGTCTGCGCTTGTTGTAGCCTACTTGTTAGCTTAGCAGGTATAAAGGATCTGATATGCAAATGGCCCTAAAAGTATTTGGAAAATTAGGCCACACTTAAAAATACATGAAAGTCATTGCATTAGCAAAAGTATCAAACCAAGTGACATTTTGGCTTCACTTTACCAAAGTGATCATAGATTTGAATTTTAAACGTGGTGTTCATTTAAATTCAGGTCTTTTCACACTATGATTGTTAGTTTTAGTTTGGTTTATATTTAGTTTTAGTATTATTTGTTTTTTAGTATTTATATATTTCTTTAGTTTTAGTATTCCGAAGGAGAATTTTTGCATTTTGATGTTTAAAAACTTTGACATTTGTAGTCTTTGTTAGGGAAAAGTAATAATCATTAACCATATTTCTATCAATGTTTTATGCAAATTTTGGGATAACGCATGCAAATATATATATTTTTAAATACATTTAGTTTCATGTTTTAAAATATTAAAAAACATGGAAGTTCCAAAATGCAAATTTTGGAATACAACATAAAAAAAGATGGTTAAAAATACACGTCATTTCCAGAATGTGCATAAAAATTAGTGATTTAAAAAAAAAAAAAAAATGATAGTATAGTTTAATAGTATACTATAATAGTTTAGTATTTATTTTAATTTAATTTCTGTTTTCTTTTTCCCCTTTTTTTCTTTTTTTTTTCAAATTTTGTAGTTAACTAAACATGGATGTGTCTGTATGGATACCAGTAAGCATTAATAATGAAATCTTAGGGCCACACAGAAACATTCTGGCACAAACATCACAGCAATGAACAAACATACAAGCAAAGAAAAACAGATCAGTTGGGGACACAACCATGAAAATTGTTCTTAACTAAAATAATCAGCTGGAATAAAAGTACTTGTCATGTAGAAAATCACCGTTAATCAGAGCATTAGTGTAAACTTTGATGTTGGTGTGGCCATATTGTCAAAGCAAAGTGCTGGCCAGTTCATTTCAGCATGCTTCCATATGGCTGGCTGCCACTTGGAGAGCTCCACGCGCTCACCCAGAGATACACACGCGTGCAAACACACTTAATCAGCATTTTATCATTTCTCAACCATCTAGTTGAACATAGACCAGCAGAACCACCACAATAGCTTGTTGGGCCTTGCGTTTTTTAACAGATCGTGATATATGAGCACATTTTACTACAGAGCCCTGGAGAAATATTGAGACACAACAACAGCCTGGCTACATGCTTCTCTGGTTCCATGCAAATTGCACAAGCTAATTATGATCTAATAACTGGCAGACTGTCCAGCATTATTACAGGAAGAGAAGGTTAAATTAATAGCTTATCATCTGCCCTAAGAATCAGTCATTTGTTTTTAATGATCATAATTCTTACATTAAATCTTCATTACCTGTCAAGATCTTAAGGGAGGCCTGCCAATTTGCTGCCTCAATGAGAATTAAAGCAAGTATTGCTCAAGCTAGAGTCTGTTTTTCAAACGAGGCTAACTTCGTTACCCAGGGCCACGGAGTAGCCTAACGGAGGCCGGACCCGAGACATCTGAATTCTTCAGCCTTGAGAGGATACGTACCTGGTCCCCTTGAATTAAGTGTGCGTTTTGGGAATTATTTGTTTTCATGATGTAGCTTTATAGCTACTGGCTGCATAGAAGAAATGCTAAGTGTGGTTGTTGCGTCCTCATGAATATTAGCATACAACATTTGTATTTAGAATATTAAAGGGGTCATATGATGCTGCTAAAAAGAACATTATTTTGTGTATTTGGTGTAATGAAATGTGTTTATGCGGTTTAAGGTTAAAAAAGAGCTTGTAACACTCCAAAGAGAAAGGAAAAATTTAAATAGCATCATATGACCCCTTTAAAGTGGACTTTAATTTCCTTGGAGAGTGCTGTGAGACATATCTAATGGCCTAAAGCAGTGTTTTCTGTTTTGTTAGTGGGATATGGCCCAAAAATAGGTTGCAGGTCTGTTTTAAAGGTACACAGACAATGCTAAATGCTCAAAATAAAATGCCGTTACCATATTATTGCAGTTACAGGGATGCGAAAACGCATATCTTTTGTTGTTGATGTCAAAAGCTGATGAGTGCGTATGCTATTTTGACACAAATGTATGTTTTAATTTTACTAATGTGGCTGATACTGGCTATAATTCAGAAGTGCTAAGTGTGGTTATTGCGTCCTCATGAATAGCCTATTAGCATACAACATTTGTGTCTAGTATATTAAAGTGGACTTTAATTTCCTTGGAGAGTGGTGTGAGACGTATCTAGTGGCCCAAAGCAGTGTTTTTTTCACTGGTGTGTCATGGCCCAAAAATAGGTTGCAGGTGGTAAATAGACAATGCTAAATGCTAATAATAAAATGCAGCTACAGTTCCAGGAAGGCATATAGCCTATCTTTTGTTGTCGATGTCAAAAGCAGTGCCTATGCTATTTTGACACATTTTTTCACTCACTAATGTGGCTAATACTGGCTATATACAGAAAAGTGATGTTGAATATTAGCATCCAACATGTGTGTTTAGAATACTCACGTAGACATTTATTTTCTTGAAAATTGCTGTGAGACATATCTAGTGCCAAAAATGGTTGTTTTCTATGTTTTACTAGTGGGTCGTGGTCCAAAATAGGTTGCAGATTGGTTTTGAAAGAGCCATGAATGACAGGCAAATAGATTATGCTAAATGCTAATAATAAAATGCAATTATATTATTGCAGTTACCGGGAGGTGAAAAAGCATATAATTTGTTTTTGATGTCAAAAGCTGTGCATTATGTTATTTTGACACAAAGTGTGGTCACATTTATCGTAGTATGGCAAATTTTGGGGGTAAAATCCAGTCATTTCAATATTTAGCAATCGGGAATTTCGCATGAGAGCGAAAGATTCCTTCACACAGATTTCATAACCTTAGTCAAAAAACAAAAAGTTGCTTGGTTTGAAAGTAAATTCTTTGTGAGCTGTGTGTCATACATTGCTACACTATTTACAATATAAAACTGGCTTTTTTGGCTATGATATTTTGCAAATTTGACATCGTCTTTGGGTTGTAAGTCATTTATGAATTTATGTCTGCTATTTATGAGTTTGCAGAATTGTCCTTTTTTAGTTTGTCATATTCATAATTTTGCATATTATTGGGTCATTGTCATTTTAATACATTTTTGTTTGGTTTTAAGTACTTTTTTGTTTACTTTCATATGATAAACAGTTTTGGAACTGTAAAAGCCTTATTTGGTAAGATGGCGTTTTGTAATTGCGTTCGGTGCATCCCGGTGGAATCGCACTCAAAAACAAACATTTTTTTCCCTGCGAAAAATCTGGACCGTAAATGGGAAACAGTGCAAACAACATCTTCTCGGGCTGAAATGTGGAGGATTTGGCTTGAGCTCCAGAACTGATGAAACCACAGGAGACACAACAGCTTTAAGGAAGTGAGGCAGATCTCTCTGTGCAGCATTCTGTTTGTTGTGGGTTGAGTTTTCGCAAACAGCTTCAGGCTAAAGATCGCTTAAGGACAAGAACGCTAGGTAGAGAGAGAAGCAAAGATAAAGAGTCTCAGCTCAGGGCCTGTCATGTAGAAAACAATATTGTGACCTTACACTATACGTTTATTGAGGGGTGGGGGACAGCGTGACTGAGGAAAAATGGTCAAATAAATCAAAATCAATCAAATGTCCCATATAAATACGAGCAGTGCCAAGAGGTGACATCCCAGAGGCTGGAACAGAGCAAAGCGGGGTGATCCATGTGAAAGGACTGCCTGTGTGCTGGAGAGAAATATACGCTCCGTGTCAGCCACAACAGTCAGATCATTATGAGATTAATGATACTCTCTGTTGAGCAGATACGGCATTATACCGTAATTGAGCGTTTTCTGGGAAGTGCAGTATGGTCATTGCCATACAGCAGATATGGCTTTATAATGTAAGACAGTGTTTTCCTGGAAGTGCGGTATGGATTTGGCCATGTACCCATAAGCCTGTTTACTGCTGTTTCTTCTGTGATTTTCAGATGGTGATGGGTTTTTGATGTTATTTAGACGACCTCATTAACTTTTTGAGTCTATCTGGCGCTTTGTCATGAAACAGCACTGCCAGTGTCATGATTTTTAACAAAGTTAAGATGAGAATATTAAAAGTTGTGGTCTATGACAAAGCAAAACTAAAAAACTTTTTTGTTTTATTTATTCATTTATCTATTAATTTGATAAAATATTAAATAAAATAAATTAAGTACAAAAACAAATAAAAACAAATGCATTGTATTCAATAAAATTATTTAACAAGTAATAATTTATATAAAATAGTTATTAAATATATTACTTGAATATAATAATTGTTTACAAACATTATTTAACAGATTTGTTATAGTTAGTTTATTTGGTCATGAATAGTAATGTTTATTTTTATTGCATAATTTTAAGTTAACAGTTTTTAAGTTTTTCGAAAAATTGAAACTTTCCTCAAAATTTTGGAAATTAATAACTGTTAAAAAAAATGTTTTTTTTTAAAGTTTTAAATAGAAAAAAATTGGTAAATACTAAAATATATTATTTTAGAATTTCTACTTGTTTTAATTCTACTGTTACTTGTCATTTCTTTGTAATTATTTGTGCATTTTACAAGCAATTTCTGAGTGAAAATTGTTTCTATGGCAATTTTGTTTTCGGTGTAGTCGCAGCTAAAATGGATTAGGTAAACAGTTTAAAAAATGTAAGTTAATTGCATACAAAATTGCATGAAATTAAGTTGTGACAGAAACATTTGTCTCACATTAATGACCAAGCACCAAAAACCCATTTATCAGAGTGTAAC